TTCACCACTTCGCCGTCGCCGTCGCCTCCGCGGCACTCACTTAGTGCGAACTATCTTGTCCATACTTTCGGCTTCCATCATCCGAAAATGCACCCCTACCAACACAATGGGCCACACAGGCTCAACCACGGGCCCGCCATTACCCGAGCTCCACACCAGCAGCCCTTACCCGGGCTCCATATACAAAATCAAAAATGTTCCCTTCCATTCGACCAACCAGCCTAAGTGGATTTAGTGTTCTGCAGAGCTAAACACTCGGCAGTGCTCCCTTGCAAGAAGAACTAGACTTAGACGACGAGTGGCCCGAAAGCATTTTTCATCACGTATGAAGTCAGAGTGTGAGTTATGTGTTAAGTGTTCAGTGTGAAGTGTTAAGTCGAGTGAGTTGAGGCAGTGTGTGGGTCTCTGTGTGTGTATCTATGTCTGTGTGTGTGTGAGTCCCTGTCTGTGTGTGTATGTGTCTATGTGTGAAGGTCTTCACTCTAGATATAGTGAACCAAGTAGAGCGCAGGCCTCCCAAGCGTCCACTGCCCGCAAAGTTCGCATGGTTGGGCCCCGAGGTCTCGCCCAGGTAAGTTTTCAGCCGCAGTGACCAGCGCAAACGCCGCCCTCTTGGGAAAGGAGCGCTGGCGCTCCTCGCGCGGCACTCCGCGATGGTCCTCGCGGAATAGGTGTCTCCACGCCACCTCTTGGTGTCTTTCTCGCTGCGTCCGCACAACGCTGAATAGGTCCACCACACACTGTTCGCAAACATAACCCATAATACCACAACTCATTCGTCTCTGAGGCGACACGCCGTCTTGTCAGACACTCTTGTGGGTCATCCCCAGCTACTCCGGGTACTACAGTTGTACCACAAAGTTGCCAGTTCTCATCTTCCAGCTCCCAGCTATTCCGCGTACTACAGTTGTACTACCAAGTCCCCAGTTCTCATCTTCCAGCTCCCCAGATCTCCGCGTACTAAACTTGCACTACCAAGTCACTAGTGTTCGTCCCACCCTCCGCCTTTAAAGAGAATTTATAAACTGGGGAAATGTTTTTCATTAGGACATCTCCCGTGAAAGTTTTCCATACTCACTGGGATACTTACACTTGCATTACACTTGCATACTTTTGCACTTGGATACTTACACTTGCATACTTGCCCTTGGATGCTTTCACTCTTACACTTACACTGGGATACTCACAAGTACACACTTGGATACTTCTGTGCCATTGTGCGTATAGAAGTGTAATATGTTCAAGTGTAAGTGTGGGAGCGTAAGTGTTCAAGTGTAAGTGTAGAAGTGTCAGTGTTCAAGTGTAAGTGTAGAAGTGTCAGTGTGTAAGTGTAGAAGCGTAAGTGTTCAAGTGTAAGTGTAGAAGTGTCAGTGTTCAAGAGATTTTCCGGAAGAACTCTTCGCAATGCTTTCGGGAAAAAGCTTTGTGGTTTCATCACACCTTAGGCCCCAGGTGCTCTGCTACCAACTCACAAGCGCAGACTTTTTCGTCTATCTGCAAGCCTCTATGATTTCAGTTGTTCACACTGATAACAACAGGTCTTTACATGTCTCAGTGTGTCATCCAGGAAAGGCATGTGGTCGTTAATAGCTTAAGTGACTTTCGTAACGTTTGGACAAGGAGCTGCTAAACCAACGCGTTTAGACTGGAAATTGAATATCGAGCCAAGCCAATGCCTTTTGAACATGGGCTGGCAATACGCTAGTGCTGCTAGCGCAGCCTTGCCTGACTGACTGTCAGCGTCTGAAGCTCTTCTGCACATCACTTTGAGATGAATGCTCCAGTCGCCATCGTAATCAGTGCGGCGCGCACAGACCTCAACTGAGCATTCAGAATGAAATATGAAGAACGATGGCATGTTGTAAGCCTTCTGCCAAAAACACAATTTGATGAACTGGCCCATCAACTTTTGAGGATCGCACTTGACCATTCTCTTGGTAGATGTGGAAGGTGTCCGGGTAATTTCCAATGTGAGACACTTCGACTGGGCAAGTCACTGGTCCTGGCAAACTACAGCTGCAACACTACTGCTGATGATGACGACAACTCTCCCACGCTATGTAGGCCCACGGTGGCTTGATGCGAGTTTCCACCCGAAGGTCCGTCGAGTCTAGTGCTAGGCTTCAGGCCTCACCTAGCAATTTAGTATCAAATTGCTAACTGACACCATCTCTCCAAAGCGTGCTCATAGTTCTGTAAACCTGGAACAGCACCTGCACAAACAGCTCAGCAACATCCATTGCCAAAGCGCGCATGCACCAACAGGTCCAGAAGCTGACTCATAGGTCCAGAAGCACCTGGAACAACTCACTATCTCCCACACAGTTCCAAAAACGCCGGAACAGCACCTGCACCGACATAAGCACACACACACATAGTTTCAGAGACAAGCACCTGCACCAACACCCTGTCTCTAAAGTGAAATCATTGTGGCACAAAAACACCTGCAACAGCACCTGATCGACATCCTATCGCCAAAGCACGCCCACAATTCCAAAACTCTTGAAAGTAACTACACCGGCGCCGACAGCACTTGCACCGACACGTTTCACAGCCAACTCATTCTATGTTTGAAGTAAGAACCCCATAGCCATCACATGCCATCACTATCTGCGAAATACTCGCAGACTCATCAACCACTCAAACTGTCCAGCGTGACCTGTCTGAATGACGCACATCGTATCGGATAAACAGGTGTCACGATGTTTCGTCCTTCTGGTGTCACGCACTTGGTCTTGTAGCCATAACTGGTTCCAATATTGACCTCACAAGGGAAAGCTAAAGCCTGAAAGCCCCATGCCAAATTCAGCCCCTGGCTCTGTGCTCAAACAAAATCATGAAAAATACTTTGTTCAGCTCAGCATTCGAATAGCATCAGTGTGCCAAGTCTCTGGTTTTGAAAACCTGAACTGGGCCTGAACCCTGATCAGTTTGTATATCAACCACTTGAGTTGAACTTGTTGAAGCTGAATGATGTACCAACCTCTCAAAATTCCGCAAGCCTCCACCTCCCAGCTGCGCGCAAATGGCAGAAGGATTGCCAAGAGGACAGCATCATGGAAAATACTCATGGCAAGCAGGTTCGTTAGTTACGTAAGGAATGAAAGAATAGACCAAATAGGGCTAAATCATTACCACTTGTTGTTTTCAGCAGCTGTACCGGTTTGAGAGGAAAACCTAATAGACACTTGTGCCTAGGGTTTTCAGACGATGCGTGCACCCTGTGGCAAATGGTGGAATACAAGCAGAATACTGAATAGTCTCACAATCAATGCTAAGCAAATTGAGCCAGAGATTGAACAGCCACACAGGAAACTCCCAGTTTTCCTGTAACGAAAGTGCGCAAAATGTTGCACGATTCTTCTAGGAGCCACTCTTGGCTCATTGTACTATAAACAAATGTTATAGACCGGTTTTGCGTGTGTGTGCCCCATAAGAAAACGTTGCAAAATACACACACTGAAAGCACTGAAAGCACTGAAAGCACTATGCATTTGCTCCTCGATCCTTTAACCAATGCTCCTCCGGGTTCTTCCCAGGGTGCACTAGCGATGGTGTTTTTCTCTGTTCCGTCCCCTAGCGATGGGTCAAGCAAGATTTCGTTCCTCTCCTTGCTTGCAAGACTTCGTCTCTGACTGCTTGGAACTTGGAAGCTGCGTTGAAAACCAGTGAAACGTGTTGATTTGCAGAGCTTGTAAAGCCCCAGCCCATCCTCAAAAACCTTTTATCAAGGCCATAGGATGTAAATGCTTGCGCCAGCGAGATGATGATTGGAACTGAACAAAACTGGCAACTTGCTACAAAGCTTCAGAGGAATTAAAAGAGTTCCGGATTGGCCCCAGGTTCCAGTCTTTGCTCCTAGCGCGACATCAAGGGATGTTCATTTGCACAAAAAATACCTATCTGGGTAGACTATGGTACAAGTAGTTAAGTTCTTTGGCGGTGGAACTGCAGCACATGCACCTTGTCCCACACTCCCAACACAAAGCAAGGAACCTGCTGGAACCTTACTTTTGGACAGGGCACTTTCTGTTTGGAAAACCGAAACTGAATCTCTGAGTGAGCAAACGCCCACCATGCTGGAACCCATGTTGACTAAAAGCACTATGCTCTTCAGCTACCAAGAACGTAGCTATGGGCCAGAATTGTCCACAGTCCGAGAAGAATTGTCCAAATCAACCCTTCAGAGACTTGTTTTCGTCCTTCGGCTGCATATCATCGACGGTTTGACGAAGCAACGCCACCGTGGAGCTGAGTGTGTCAATTTTCTTCCTCGGCTGAGAGTTCAACGGCAACAGCCGAGGCTCAGAGTTTCAGCTTTTGGTTTGCATTCGAACTGAAACAAACACACTAGGTCACTAGGAAATCAAGATGCTCTCGATCTTGAAGATGAACAATGACATCCCTGGCACAGTCCGTCCAATTTGGCGGTACACATTCGACGGGGAGCAACCCTCTGAGGCCACACAGGGAAGACCGCGTGATGCAGAACAAAATACCATCAACCCATGAAAAAAGAGTAGAAAACAAATTGGGAGAAAGTGGTAATACAACGAGGCTGGCAAAGCAAGTGCATGTACTCTGATCATTTTGGGGAGCCTCTGGTACACCAGAAAAACCGAAGCAATCAAATGATATGGTGATGAGTGATGAAAGTGAAGCGAAAATGACCTTCTGCGATGCGAAGATGAGTTTCTGTCTGTGAAATAAACATGTGAAAATTGTACGTTTACATTTGTACAAGTGCCCACATGTCAGAATCATCACATTGGAAGGCAATCAGCGCATTTCTAACAAACACAGCAGAGTTGGAGCTGCCTTTTGCCAGAAACATCCTTCACGTTTTTTTTCTGGTGCGTTGGAGCTCTGGTTTAGCGCACCAAGGCACTGGAAGACGAGACAAAATGGATGACATGACATGACGGGAAAATGAAGGCTGCCCCGCACTGCTTCGCCATGCAAGCCGCATGTTCAACTCTGTCATAGCACCTTTAAGTGGCTACAATACACCCCGAGTTCACATTCCACAGCAGCAGTTCGACAATGACCTATATGACCATGGCGGCGATCATTTTGTGCCGAGTCAATGAGCAAGCTGCGCCTAGCAAGCTGCTCGTCAAGCTCTTCTAACTTCCGTAGTTTGCGTTGAACTTGCGGGAGGGATGCCACATCATCCACTTCTGGTCTTACACGTTCACTGAGTTTCTTCACCTCGGCCTCCAAAAACAACATTGAAAAAAAAAGAAATCCTTTGTTAAAATCTTTGTTCAAGAAGCAAACGCAATCCCCCAAAATCTCGAGTCTGTCTGATCCTTGGAGTTTGGCTATTGGTGGATAAGTCGTGACAACAAAAAACAATCTCAAGGAATGAACACTGAAGATTTGGAAGGACCTGTGAAGCTGCCAGCATCTCCTCCAGTTTTCCCACTTCTTCACACTTCATATCTAACTTGACACGATGCTCCGCCAGCTCCTAGCAAGTCGTCATCGTGCCATCGAAAATTGAAGCTTGGATCAAAAGTGCAATCAAAGCAACAACCGCAAGACACGCTTGGTTTTTCCAAAGCGACCTGACCTCCCCGCCGCCCGCTCCCTGATCGCTGGGAACTCCCGCCCCAAGAGCTTCTTGGGCCCCTGGGTACGTAGGGAACGTCCCACCTGTGCAATTTTTCGGGGGAGGGAAGCGAAAAATTCACCTACCAATCACTTGAGCCCCAAAGTGCACGGTCAAAATCTGTCATGACAAGTCATGAATGATTTCAATCACATACACTTGGGGATCAAAGCAACAACCGCAAGACACGCTTGCTTTCTCCACAGCGACCTGACCTCCCTGCCGCCCAGCGACCAGGAGCTTCCTGATCACTGGGAACTCCCAAACTCTACGAAATAACTTTTGCTCCTTTCTCACCGCGATTTTCCTCTTTACATTCAACCTTCACCTGCCTGCGTGCCCTCAGCGAGAAAACCCACTCCATGACCCACGCAGTCCGAGGCCCCATAGTTGCCCACCACACTGTTTGGAATTTTTGAACGGCGCCCCAACTGCTGCCATTCACTTCAACAAGGGCGACAGGTTGGGTTGAGAGGCGGGTGAGAGAGGGTGGTGGGAGGCTGGAGAAAGTCTGGGGGCCACCTCCTCAATGCAAAAGCCACAGAGGACACAGCTTCGATTGGGGGGTGTTGAAGAGAACGAGGAAGTTACGCAGACGGTATCTATGGAGGTGACCAAGATCAGCGCGCCATGGCTGTATTTCCGAAACCGAGACCAAAAAGGGTCATCGTGGCCATCAAGCTCTGGATGAAAGGAGGCGAGGAATCGGCAGAGATCATGGTGGAGGCCTTCACTGATAAGAAAGGCTTGTCATTGCTGGTCATTGAGCTGGCAAAGAGACTCCTGACAGATGCCGCCAATTGACATAGTCTAGGTTGGTCCCCGTCTCATAGCCAAGCGTCCTTTCGAGTCCCATATCATCGGCATCACTGCGTCCCCACTTCAGCCAGCTCCTCTGCCCGATATTCTCCAGCTTGGCCAGCGCGTTCTTCTCCTCGATCGTGCCATAGCGCTTTTTTCCCAGGGCAACGCGTATTGCAGACCACGGACCAGCTTGGGCAGCGCACGTTTGGGCCACATGATGTATCCATGCACCACATGTCAAAGTGCTAGATGCACCCTGCCACCTATCCCCAAAGCTTGGAACACCCTTTAGTGTGAGACACCCTTTCAAACGAAAAACCTTTTCTTGGAGGCCTAAGGACGATCTATGTCTGTCAGTTCTGGCTGAAGATGCGCTTGTTCACTGAACCCATCGTTGATCACAATTGCCAAGCGAAAAGTCCCAACAATTTGAGTTTGGGGTTGTTCTCCTTGACGTGTCCCCAACGCAACCAACCATTGAAAACAAGAAGCGCTCTCAACTGCTTGAGGTCTCGGGCGATGCGTTTGCCAGAGTAGTTGAACGAATTGCGCTCCACTAATCCACAGCCACAAGCTCTCTAGCATCACCGCCAAACCAGAAGGTCGTCGACATGCGGCCCAAGACGTTCTTGCGCTCGCGAGCCACTGCAAGAAGGCGCGCGATCGTGCGCTTGAGCATCAAACGATTTCACCCTGCCACTGCCGGCGCAAGCCTGATCAGCGAACGCACATCCTCATGACCACACTAGGATGTCTGTTCAAAGGTTGTCTGAGAAGAGACCTAGCTGCGAAGACCTTCCACTTCCATCTCACCAGGGCGTTTCTCCATCTGTCACGCGCATTCGGTCTGAGCGCTCAAAATTTAGTGGAAGTCGCAGCGTTTGTAAAGAAAGGTGGGGCAGACGAAGGACCAGGTGTTCTCATTCTCCCTTGTCAAAGGCATCGTCTCAGCTCCAGAATGCATTTCACGAGGATGTGCAGGTGGTAGGCTGTGTCTGATTTTCCGACACGCCATCTCTTCTGCTCCAATGACCGAATGACCGTGGCAGTAACTTGCAAAACAGTTGCGAGAACGCAACCACATCTTTCAGCCCTGTTTTGCCAGGGCGCTCCAACTCCAATGCGCCAAAGAATCAAAGAAGCACGGAGTGTCCACTCACGACCTTGGTCTGCCACCAGGTCCAAACACAGGCAGCCGATGGGCCTTCAGCAACTCAGCCACAGCCACTGCCATCTTGCTCATCTTGCGATTCGGAATCGGTGGCGTGGACAACGTCGTATATGTATCTAGTTCCCTTGCCGCCCTCAGCCTCCAATAGCTCTATATATGTGACGGTCCTCACGTGTATTGGGAAGAGATCCAACATGCTGTGACTTTGGAGGTGCCTTCATCACAAATTGAACGCTGCTGGCGCTCGAATAGCTGTGCTCCAGAGGTTGCCGCCTGTGCCAAGTGTTCGCGTTAAGTTGAGCAACTACCCGAAATTTGGAATCATCTTCAGTCACGCTGTCCGCGATATAGATTCCACTGGATCCCTGAGCAACCTCACTGTTGAACAGCTGCTCCTTGCAATCCGCGTGCCCACGGTCCAGGACGCTGATATTGTCACTGCGCGGCGGGTAACGACCATCATGAGACCATGGGAGCAATTGATTTTGGATTTGGTTCCAAGTCGCTTAGCAGGGGGCGACAGGGTCGCTTCATGGCTGTCGCCAACATGCAGTTGACTAGGATATCACGGCTGATCGCCGTGAACGAACGACTACGATGTTTGGGTTGGCTGCCTAAGAAACAAGTGCAAGAACCAAGATGCTCAAAAGTTGTAAATCCGCAGCCCATCGTCCAACATGGCGTCAAGGTGGTGAAACGTGTGAATTCCAGTTTGATTAGTGGTCCGGGTTGAAATCATGTCAACACATGGAGGAACGTGTGCCGCTAAAGAAGCATGTCGTGTGGTTGTCGGTGACGTTAGAATCAAAGTGAGTGCTGTCAAACCTAAATGGTGTGTGTGTGTGTGGCTACGATATCCCGAACCAGGGTGACACCAGGGTGGAGCTCGTTGAGCGTTGCCCTTGCCGCCCCCGCGGCCTTTCCCTTTGCCTTTGCGCTGTTTCCCTTTGCCTTTTGGGCCAGGCCGGTTGCGTTTCTGGATTTCTTCTCTGGTGCGATTTATGAATACATTGATGACATCGTTGTCTCCTGCTCCGTCGTCCTTCGCCTTTTGACGTGAAGATAGGAGGGCCTTTCCAAGTTCATGCGCTAAGACATCTTGGATGGTCTGGGAAGCCAAGCCAAACTCAAGGCGGAGAACGAAATGGTTTTTGGCCCTGATCCATGACTGGGAAGCGTCGTCAAAAGTGCCTCTGGGTTGGGACTGATGAAACGCGTACTGTGTTCCAACGCTGGGCACAGCATATACCATTGATCCACTACCGCCGAGCTTTGAGGGTCGGGGTTGGCCTTATGCCAGTCAGATGATGATTGGTCAGATGGTATTGGGTAGGGCAGATGCAGAACATGGCCCAAGGCCTTCAGGACAGCCGCTGCGCCGTCTTTGCAGAGGTTCTTAAACTCACGGGTCACTTGGGCCTGCTGATAAATCGTCTCGAGGTCGGGCGCAAACTCGACGACCAGTTGTGTACTTTTTTCAATCCGGTCCAATCTCGTCTCATGCCTGTCAACCCTGGTCTCCAGCTTCGTGACTCCTTCTTGGAGAGAGTCGATGGCCTTTTTCATGTCCTTCAGCTGGGCCTTGGTTTCTGCCTTTGCCATTACTCGTGCCGAGGCTTAAAAGAGGGAGAACTCTACGCTGAGCACTTGATCCGACAATGCTATGGTGGACACAGGCGATGAAAGTGAATGGGTGTCGTGATCCTTTGTTCAACAGTCTATTGGGGTGTGACGGTGTGTGAGGGTGGGGAGCAGACAATGGGGGGTATACCGTGACACGTGGTCCGGTTGGCCAGTAGGTGACTGATGAAGTAGTTCATGCTCCCGAAGGAGACACCTCGGATGCGCCGGGTGAGTCGACCTACAGCGGTTGGGTGAGGAGAGGGGGGGTATCCTGTTGTTAGCCGCGTTGTGGACATTTAGCTTCATGGTTCTTGCGCGAAACCGTGGAACTAAAAATGTTGTGGCAAAATTCACACGTGCGGTTCGCGGGGTCGGGGCCGCGACACAGGGCCTCATGACGTGCTAGATTAGGTGTGGTAAATGTTTCATGGCAGAGCCATGCTTGAGTATGGTGAATTTTAGGGCCTCGGACAGGGCGCGGCGCAACTGGGCATATGTGGGTGCGTCTGCGCTTTTCACTACGCCAATTATTTCCGCAATGTGGGCATGCGTAGGTAGCAACTGTGATAAGATGTGGGACGGCCACGGCATGCTCATCTTCATAGTGGGCTTTGAGGCTATTAGACTTCTCGTATGATTGATCACAGCGGGGACATTTATATTGTCCTGTGGCAGGATCCGGTTGCATCACGCGGTGTCGCTTACGTCGTTCGCGGTTGAACTGAAATTGCACAGGGGGTGGCCGGGCTCGGGTGCTGGGGCGCCATCTATTGAGCGCCATTTCGGTCTGCTTATTTATCTTAGTGACTGGGTACGCATTGAGCACGGCCTGTTTCCAAGCGTCACGATCCTGGGCCAGTCTGAACCAGTCCAATTCATTGACATCTATCTGTGCAATGAGGTACTGCAACCATTGCCCCTGACGGAAAGGCGCGTGAGGCTTGATCAGGTGGTCTTGCCAAAAACCAAATAGAGCTTGTTTAGGGAGTCGAGCTTTGTCCATTCGCGCTACATGCCCTAACCAAAACAGACTCTGACGCGCTAAGGTTCCCATTGTGCTAACTCATTAAGTAAGCGGCTGTTTACGTGGTTCTCGCGTTTCCATCTTCGGGTGATAAGTAAACAGCGCTGGACCGCCCAATTGACGACTGTTTGAAGTTGTTTAATTTGTTCGCGGTTCCATGCTCGAGAACGGCCAAAGCTGGTGAGTGTCGGCATTACTACTGCTTTCATTATCCGGATGCGTAAGCTGTGCGGCAAATTCCGGCGTGTTGCACGGGCCCCAAAATGCCACGCCTTAGCTGTTTGATAAATTTTGTGATAGGCTCTAGACTTTCTGGTCATGGTATCGGTGTGGGTGCTTCCGGATTCTTGTAAAAAAAACCCGACATGACGGATGGTTGCTGGTTTCCCTTTGTGACGGACATCAGTAGGTGCGCGAGGGAAGGTCTGCAAACGAAGCCCTTCCGTTTTTTCCGGGTGCGCCTTTTCTTGCCAATCCCGCATCGTTGTTTCCAACAGGATTTCGGCCTGACTCATTTCTGCGGCGAGTCCAACTAGACCTGTGTCATCCGCAAAACCTATGTCTCCTAGGACTGTTTGTTCGGCCTTTTTGTGTAAATGTTGCCGGCTATGATATCCATGGTGGACCCTACCGTCTATCTTGGTTGTCCAGGGGATCCCTGGGGAGTAACCGGATTGGTTTGCCTGTTGCGCGCGGCGGACGCGGAAGTCTTCCATCACAGCGTGATGATACAGGTTAAAAAGAGGGGGTGATGATGGACATCCCTCGCGCAGGCCCTTATCTACTGAGTAGGGGGTGGAGAAACCTTTATGGATGCGAACCACATATTGTGTGTGTTCATGCAACGCCTTGCAAACGTTAATAAACTCAGCTGGAGCGCCCTTGTGTGCCAGTAATGTCCATAGTGTGTCTCGACTGACGCGCGGGTAGGCTTTCTCTATGTCAAACAGCCGGATTAAGACAACATCCTGTGTATCGTGACTAGCCGCCGCTTCTTCGACTATGCGCCTGGGCCTAGTGACCTGTAAGGCATCATCTACGGATCTGCCGCGTCGAAACCCCATTTGTGTTTCATGAAGCCAAGTTTCGGTCCACGTTGGAGTCTTTGTGCCACTACCCTAGCTAAAAGTTTGGACCCCACGCTCAGCAATGTGATACCGCGATATGTGTTTTTATCTTGTGGGGAACCTTTCTTTTTCCCTAGTGGGATGACGGTGCCCGTGTGTGCTTCGGTAGCCGCCTGCCACATGTGTCGGACCAAATTATTGATTTGATTACGTAGTGTGGGACTACCATATTTGTAGAACTCAGCTAGGAAACCATCGGACCCCGCTGCTTTACCGTTTTTCATATGTTTGGCACAGGCAGCTAATTCTTCATCGCTCGGGGGAGTGCTTAATGCGGGGCCGGCCGGGTTACCGCGGGAGACATTGTTCCAAACATGTGCGGCTGCGTGTTCGCGGCCGGCTTGCAGTTGTTGAAAATGAAGTTTCCAGGCTTTGCGTTCTGCTTCGGGGTTGGGGACTGTGTGTGTATGTGGGCTGCGTTTTAAGTAGTGGTCCCGGAGGCCTAATATCTTATGGATAGCAAAAACTGACCGATAATCCCCTTGTCGTTGCGCAGTGATTAGTTCATCCGTAAGAGAATCTAACCAGGTCCATTTCCAACGCAAGCGTGTCTGACGTCGATGGTGCCCAGCTTGTCGGTATGCGTGTTTGGCCTCGTCATACATGTGTTGGCGTGCTGCATCTCGTGGTAACATGTCATGGTCAAAAGTTCGCAGGTATGCGTGTGCATCATGAACAGCTATGTCCAATTGTGCGTTCTCGATTTCATGGCCGACGAGATGGGGACGCTTACTGATTTTGTGTTGGAGACCTAGGACGGCTGTGGATGTGTGCAGACAGAGGGAGGAGAGAGTGTCCCAGCTCAGTTGTTGCTTGCACCGGCAGCTTGGAGGGCTTGGTCCAATTGTCGATGCCAGTGTTGTTGAAGGATGTGGCTTTGTTCGCCGGGGAGAGCCAGGCGGTTAACCTGTGGACGTGGGGCCGTCACCGGATCAGTCGGACGAGGGGCGAACCGGGGCCAGTAGTGGAACTTGATTTCCACCGGGAGGTGGTCCGTGAAGTCGTCCCAATACAGCCGATCAGATGGAGCAACATGCTGAGGATCGACCCGGCGAAGAGGAGTGCCAGCGTTGCCTCGGCGTCCTTCATGCACAGTTTTGACGTTGTCAAAGTAGCGGAGCTGATGCGCTGGCGTTAGGACATGATCGAGGATGTGGCCTGTGGAGCGCGCTGGGTGCCACCAGGTGCATCGCTTGGCGTGTGGTTGGGAGAACTTGGTGTCCACCAGTGTCATGTGCTCGCGAGTACACCATTCAAGCAGACGGTGGCCACTAGGACTGGTACGGGCGCTGCCCCAGGGCCAGGATTGAAGGATGTTGGCCGTGAAGAGCATGATGTATCTCAGCATTGAAATCCCCTCCGATGATGGTCAGGTCGCCGGCTGGGATCTTACTACGAACTTCGGAGAGCTGAGTGAGGAACGCGTTCCTTTCTGCTGCGGGGGCGCTACTGACAGGGGCATAAGCTACGACCAGCGCGAGGCCTACACGGTGTCCTTGTCTGGGAATGTGGAGGGCAAAAACTCGTTCAGATTGGGCTCGAGGGCGAATTCGGTGACAGCCGCCGGCCTGCCACGAAGCCAGCATAGAAGGGTCAAGGGCGATAGCCACTTTGCCTGCAAGTTCAAGATGCCAAGGTATGGCGTCGACTTCGATCTGAAGGCTGACATCAGAAGAGAACGTCACATCATCAGTGAAAAGGCAAGCGTTCCATTGACGACGGGCAGCCAGTCGCAGAAGGCAGCAGGTTTTGGAGTACGGATCATACGGCGCGTTGTTACTTCCCCAGCGGCGAACGTTCCATAAGCCAAGCTTCCATTGACTACGTTGGCGTCCGTGTGTACCAGACTTGAGGTGAAGCCGATTTTTGAGTCGTCGATAGATGGCCAACTTACGGGCCCTACGTTTACGACGAAGTGTGCGTTTACTGATTCCCCGGACCATCAGGTCGGCCAGATATGAGGGCAAGTAGCTAAAAGCCAAAGGTACGGTATGTGAACAGATGCCATGTGGAGACACAGGGGTGTGTAGTCAGCAAAACCCTCAAATACGACATGAAGCAACGTATTTTTACCCGGCAGTCCACCCAAAAAACTGCCCGGAGCGACCTCCCACGTATCGGCGAGGCAGTGACAACCACCGAAGTGGAGGCCACCAACACCTCGAGATACAGCCTGAAACCTCACCTTGCAACCTCTAAGGCGCGGCGAAGCACCTGGAGTATGGGGGCCGCGAAGTGTGTGTGTGTGTGGCTCTACGTCGCTCGCAGCTTAAAAACTCCAAGTACATGACATGCGGAAACTTCGGATCAAAGTGAAGGATGTCCCTTGGCAATGTGTATGCACCGCCATGAGAGCGAGCACCCAAAGGGTATGTAGTTGGTCAGGACTGGACTGATCTAGCGTCACTGTGCAAGAAGCAGCGCGTCAGCGCCCTTTTTTCTGTAGTTCTGCTGGAGTTCGAGTTTCTACACTAATGCAGTCGAGTCCCTAAGCCTGAGCACCACGGCAAGGTGCGCCACTCGCTCAGGTACGTACCTGCTCGCCGTGACGTACCTGCTCTGCTGTGATGTTCTCCAAGCTGTCACTCCAATCTTCCATAAAGGGCTAATGCATTCTGCATGTACACGGTCGTTTCACTTCGCCTTGTCGCCGCTTCGATGCCTAGTGGATTTTGACTTTTTTGGCCTCCTAATGACTAACGATGATCAGACCCCCTTACATGACTTTCTCAGGAATATGGTTACCTAGGTCGCTCTGTGGCAAATGGCTTTCAGTTCCGTACGCAATATCTCGAGTGTGTGTGGCTCGGGATGTTGCCTTGCACAGGGTAGAGTATAGTAAACAGTGCGGCGTGTAGCTTGTGGTCGATGCGCTGCAGACTGCGCGGTGGGCCTTAACACCAACCTCTCTGGCCGCGAGTTTAGTTGTTGCGTTCCACCCCAAAATGTCGCCTTAACAGTTAACAGTTATCATGTTGGCAATTCATGCAGGGTGGGCCTTAACACTCACCATTTTGGCACAGTCACAAGGGGGTAGTAATGAATCGTATTGCTGTCTAGGAGTGTATTTGGAATCAAGCACCAATCCAACAACGACTTTGTGACATCCACACCACCCAGAGCTGTTGCCTTAATGAGAGCAATAAGCTAGATTCTAGCTGCTAAAGCTGCTCAAGCACTTGTCAAAGTAGTTGCAATGTTTACCGTGTATAGCATGTTCTGATTCTTTGTCGACATCACACTAGACGCCTGCCGCTTCAGACCAGGCCGGACACGTGGGCTCAATGGTGCTGTAAACTACTCCAGTTTGGGCAGTTGGGAACATGGAAAAAAGAAGTCTATAATTGCACTCAGGTTGAATGTTCCCGGTCCTTTGCCATAGCCTCATTGGCATCATCCATGGCCCCAGCCGAGACAGCGCTCCCCACAAGCCGCTGTTCCAGCGTACGTAGCTCAGTTGTCACGGTCTGGCAATCTTTGAACATCTTTACAACACCAAGCTTGTCGTCCAAACGTTGTCCAAGTATTCCCAATGTCACTGCAAGCCTTCACTTCTAAATGGGAAGCATGTGCTCTTGATGCGTCCATGCCCAGCCTGCCGCTCTTCACGTTCTCTGTGCAGGTTGTCTGCAAGCTCCTGGGGGACACGCAAACGAAAACCACGGCAAGGACGATCGCGCAAACTATGTGTCGAAATTAGAGACATCCGCAGTGCTTACAAAGCACATGAGTGCAGCTAACCAAGAAGCTGACTACCCTTGGGAAAGCTTTGCAAAGCGAAAAACTGTGAAAATTGTGCAGCACATCTCTCACTTCTCCTTCATGTGGCGTTCGGACTCTTTGAGTCGTGCCTCCTGGCTGATCAGCCGGCGCTCGGCATCAGCCCTCGAGAGGACCTTCTTTTGTGTCTTGACAGCATCCTTGCAGGAAAGCTGTGAAGGACAAAGCAAACGAAGCAGAAGACTTTGAATCGACAAATTCATAGAAACTGATTAGGGGGCCAGGCTAGGCCATGAGGAGAGCTGTCTCAAGTAGCTAGTAGAAAGGGGGCTGGTAGCTTGAGTAGCAGGCTTCAGACGCAGAAGAGCTCAGATTGATTTGGTTTCTAGGTTATATTGAACTTAAGCAAAAACCGTGTATCCTGTAATGGCAAGAACCTGTAACATTTACAGAAGCATTGCTTGTGGGGAAGTGACATCCAAGACAGGTAAAAAAAGTTACACCGGCATAGACCCAGATAGCTAGGCAGAATCCACGACCTGTTGACATGCGACTGGTGGAACAAGAATGTACGCAGCCTGCACAGCCAGCTTAAGGCACCTCCACAGCGCGCACAATCAGCTGACACCAGCACCGGTGCGCTTTGCCAGCTGACAACACCGGCAGCGGCGCCAGCACCCGACCAGCGCCGCCGCCCGTCTTAAACGCGCGCTCAGCCAGCTCACAGCACCAGCACCCAGGACCACAACATTCTTACTTGCAGCAAGAACCCCATAGCTATCCCTATTTGGGGAATAACAACGTATGATCTTGCGCGTATAAGTTTATGCGCGCAAAAGTATGCGCGCAAACAGCAAAGCCCGTAAGTGTCATTGGCCCAAGGCCAAGCAGTATCCAGTGCCGCTATTGACTTTGCAGCATGCTTGAAGCAACGATCTGCAGAACGACAAGGCCGTATGATCTTGCGCGCACAAAAGTGTGCGCACAAACGGCAAAACACGCGCACTCACAGCACCCAGCACCAGCACCACAGCCCACCCGAACCAGGAGCCGGCAGCGGCACCCAGCACCGGCACCCTGTTTCCACCACGCGCACAGCCAGTTCACAGCACCAGCACCAGCACCGGCACCCGGCACCAGCACCAGCAACGTGTCTCCACCACGTGCAGCCAGCTCACAGCACCAGCGCCAGCACCGGCACCCACCCAGCACCAGCACCGGCACCCGGCACCAGCACCAGCAACCTGTCTCCCCAGCACCAGCACCGGCACCCGCACCAGCAACCTGTCTCCACCACATGCACAGCCAGCTCACAGCACCAGCACCAGCACCGGCACCCAGCACCAGCAACCTGTCTCGAAAGCGCGCACAGGCATTTCATTGTTATTTGAAGTAAGAACTCCATAGCTTCGCTATCTGGGGAAAAAATACACCAGCATAGACCCAGATTGCTAGGCAGAATCCCACGACCTGTTGACATGCGACTGGCTGGAACAAGAATGTACGCAGCCTGCACAGCCAGCTTACGGCACCTCCACAGCGCGCACAATCAGCTGACACCGGCACCGGCGCGCTTGCCCGTCTTAGACGCACGCACCAGCGCCCAGCACCGGTATACCCAGCACCAGCACCCGGGACCCAGCACCCGGCACCCTGTCTCCACCAAGTGGACAGGCAGCGCCAGCTCACAGCACCGGCACCGGCCCCCGCGCTACTGCCAGCACCCAGCACCGGCACCGTGTCTCCACCACGCGCACAGCCAGCTTACAGCACCCAGCACCAGCACCACAGCCCGCACCAGCATCCAGCACCTCTCTCCACCCGCGCACAGCCAGCACCGAGCACCAGCACCGGCACCCTGTCTCCACCACGTGCACAGCCAGCTCACAGCACCAGCACCAGCA